CAAATATTACAAAATGTACTTTACAAACAAGAAAATACATTTACAATAACACAATACATTATAGGTATGCAAGCAAATAATGGACTACAACAAACTCAGTTTTCCTATTTTAATTGGTTAAAGTACCTACAATTAGCTTTATTTATTTGTATTTTTAATACATTTATAGAATAATTTAGAATATTTATTTCAAATGTTTAAAAAAAGTGTGTTTTAATATGTATGTATACCTTTTATTTCTTTACTGGGATCATTTAATATGTTTGGATTTTAAAATCTATTGTTTTAAAATTATATTATACAACATTTTTTTTTTTTTAACTAACTGTGTATCCATCCACCAGAGGGCAATGTTATCCTTTCCTAGACCAGGTCATTCACTGTCTTATCTGAAATTCTATAATCTAATTCTAAGAATGTAATCTAACTGTTTACATGTGGAGAGCAATTTAATTCGGGCATTTCCTCTGCAGTATGAAGGAACAGGAAAAACACAGGATAAGACCAAAGTGAGGTCACTTAAGGAAGATAAAAATGAAAACCAAATTCTAGACTCATCATTATATATTTTTTTAAAAAGTGTCTGGTATGGAAGGCCATAGACTGTCTGTCCTTCTGTTTGCTCATTCTTAGTGTCTGAAAGACTGTAACACTCACGTTTCTCCTGGACATAGAGGTAGCTTTCCATTGTCCACTGGCCTGGGGGCTTCTGGTCTTGATCTGCAGATCGAACTCTGTTCATCAGCTTTTCTACTTCTTGCTTGGTGCTCAGAAAGTTGTTTCTTGTCTTCATCCAACAAATAAAAACACATGTACACAAACAGATCATAGGAACAACAACTGCCATTTTAAAATAGCCAATTATATTTAATCTGACAGATGCAAATACATTTAAAACTAGACATGAGACTGAAATAAGTATATAGTAATAGACATTTACAGCATACAGACATGCATAGGAAAGAGGAGCTCTGTTGCAAAAGATAATGATTTTACCATAGTGCATGATTTATAATACATTTTGACGTTTGCATACAATCAGCTCCATATGTATGGCTTTTTCTGACTTAGTAAACTTGCTTGATAGCTCACCTGATACAACACTGCAAGTACGATGAGGAACGCTTGGGTACGAGTCCCGCGAAACACAAGTCATTATAAAGGAGCTCCAAAGACTTGTAGTAGCAAGTTAAAATGATGTGGTTGCTTCAGCAAATACTTTTTTTTTTACATGCTTTTTTGCTTGCTAACACAATCGGTTAGGTTTAGTGTAGGCATTACTTCTAAAATTTTAGCGCCACTCATCAGACATTTCAATTCTATCCAAACAAAAAGTCGTCATTACAGAATTATAAGCCATGAACCAAACAGCTACGAAGTGAATCAACTTTGAAGCAAAAATGGATTTGAAAATCAGACAAAAAGAGACAATCACACAGATGATTGTGAACACAAAGAAACATTCAGGAGCACAAAGACTTGTGGTCAACACTGCCCTGTGACTTTTATTGAATAAAATAGCTTCACTACTGAAAAGCTACACTTTACTTCTCAGGTGATAATGTTGATGTTTGAAATTTTGCACTGCAAACATCAATGTAGCTTTTCCATGCTGTCAAGTGACTATGGTTTAAGCGAGATAATCTACAGCAAGGTGTTTATTAAAGGGGTCATATGATGTTGCTAAAAAGAACATTATTTTGTGTATTTGGTGTAATGAAATGTGTTTACGCAGTTTAAGGTTCAAAAAACACATTATTTTCCACATACTGTACATTATTGTTTCTCCTCTATGCCCCGCCTTTCTGAAACGCGTTGACCAAGTGCATTCAAAAGTCTTTCACAGTTTGTTGGAAAGAAATGAAAAGAAATGGCTTCATATCCTTCTTTTGTCCTCTAGAGTACTTACATCTCAGGCAAATACATCACTGTGAATGATCAATGCCACTCCTACAATATAAAAGGTGCTTGTCCTGCGGTAGTGAAATACTGTTAAGGCTAATGTCTCACGCTTTCGCAGCAGCGTTATTTCAGCGTATATATGCCGCAGTGCTGACACAGAGCTGCAGCACAGGTCTTTTGTGCTTTAGAATAAGCTGACATTTTGTGACACCACATCAGCTTTGAGTTTACAGTGACAGTCAAAGGTTAAAGGCAAAGCAAGGCAAGGCAAGTTTATTAGTATAGGTCAATATTGCCAATATTGATCAAAGACAAACAGAGCAGGTTACAGCATGAAAACAGAGGGCAAAATGGATGCAAAACTTTTTTATATGTGCCAGGCATAACATCATGTGGCTTTATAAATATTTTCAAAAGTAAAAACACTTTTTTTTTGGTCAAAAGGAGGCTACAGTAATTGAAAAAATGAAAGAGAAGCTAGATGGCTCTATACTTACATTCTGCAGGTTAAACTGTAGCTGTTGTTTGTAGGGCTCAAAATCGTGGGCCAGCTCATAACCCTCATGGTAGAATGTGAACAGACCCTGTAGGAAGGCCAAGAGCTGCAACCCCAAAGAGATATAAATACAGCAAGATGTAAATACGTTTCCATCATATGCTTGTTGCACAACATATCCATCTCGTCCTCTTTCTCAGTGCAAACAGGGATTTCACAATGTTTTGTGTCAGTTTGTAAATTCTGAAGTTTTCACATAACGGCTCAATCAAAAGCCCTGCACACAAAGTTAAGCGCAACGTTCTCTACAATGTTCTCTAAAACAATGTGTTAAAATAGGAGTATTTTTCCTTATTAAAATTGAAGACAGAAATAAATCAATCAATATTAATTTTGTGAAATGTGTGAAAATGATGTACACTCACTTGATATGAAGACTGTAAAACCCCATGTTTAATTTTACATGGAGAGGGTCGCCTCATGGGGGCAGCCATGTTGAGATCACATCACAAGCCAAACACTACTTGCTTTATCTCTGTAAATCTTTATATTATTGGATATTTTTGCTGACAAATATAAATTAATACAGTAGCATTGGTAATTGAAAAAGTTCGCGTCTGCATGTTTCTGCATCCACACCACTAGGTGTCAGTACAAGTCAGACTTAGGGAAGGGGAGAAATGATACGATTTGATTTTTGAGAAAGAAATTAGAACCCTACAACCTCAAATTACTAAAAAGACATTTAGTTAATATACTAAATTAATCATTTAATAATTGAAAAAATTGTTGTTGCACAGACCTGATGTACACACTGTAAAGAATCATTTTTCAAAGCTGTACATAAAAATTGTTTCTGGCACATGTTTTACAAGAAAATACCAGTCCTTCTATTTCAAAATTTCACGCTTAAATCAGTGTGTTACTTGATATTTTTTGAAATTATTTGTGATATTAAATATCAATTTCTGAGTGAAAATGGTTTCAAAGCCATTTTCTTCAGTGTACGGTGAGTGCATTAAGTTATGAATAATGTTCCATCTATTAATCATTACAGTTATCCCAGCTCTCTTATACTCGAGGCCTGTGCAAAGATTTGACTTTCTGATAGTAACTTTAGCAGAAGACTTCAAAGATGCTGATGTCACACCCTGAAACTCAAGAGCAGACCAGACTGCAGTGCTTCTGGGAGATTAACAGCATCGTTTTTTCCCATGCCAGGTGATAAACACTGGATGCTCTAGCTCACTTTACCGCTCACACTTATGCATATAAATATGCTTAATGCAGAAACGAGTCATGCAAATTCTGTCCACTGTTGTAATATGTGAGGTCCAGCTGTTGCGTATATCACGCGATGAATAATGTTCCATCTATTAATCATTACAGTTATCCCAGCTCTCTGACCTGAGCTGCTCTCTGATACTCGAGACCTGTGCAAAGATTTGACTTTCTGATAGTAACTTTAGCAGAAGACTTCAAAGATGCTGATGTCACACCCTGAAACTCAAGAGCAGACCAGACTGCAGTGCTTCTGGGAGATTAACAGCATCGTTTTTTCCCATGCCAGGTGATAAACACTGGATGCTCTAGCTCACTTTACCGCTCACACTTATGCATATAAATATGCTTAATGCAGAAACGAGTCATGCAAATTCTGTCCACTGTTGTAATATGTGAGGTCCAGCTGTTGCGTATATCACGCGATCTGTCTGCTGAGTGGAGATTTAGATACTAAACATGAAAAGGGCTGAAAATAAAAGAACAGTAAGAGGTCTTCCTCTCAAACTATGTTTAACTGCAGAAAACTTTCAGTTATTGTTTTACTTTAAGAGGAAGGATCAATTTTGCTTCAATTTCTGCAATAATGTGAGATTTTCATTTCCTATTGGATTGCATTTAAATTGATATATTTTACTGACCAGTGCATGTTAGGTTCACCCAAAAATGAAAAGTCATCATTCTGTCTTCATTCACTTACATTCTTTCTTCTGTGGAAGATATTTTAAGAAATGTGTTTTTTTGTCCATTCAATGGAATTCAATGGCAACCAAAACTGTTTGGTTAGCAACATTCTTCAAAATACCTTGTCTTCCACAGATAAAGAAAGTCATACAGGTTTGGAACCAATTGATGGTGAATTTTCTGGGTGAACTGCACCTTTAATAGCTCAGGGGTATTGTGGGACAGGAAATGAGAGCTGAGGTTTGTAATTTGGCATGATAAGACAGCGAGATTACGACTCCAGTGGTCATAAACTGTCCAGCTACTTCCTGTTGGCTACAAAACCATTACTGACCAGATGGCTTGATTCTCATTGCAGCACACTGCATGATGGGCATCTGATTTCTTTTGCAGGATACACATTTGACTATATGTTTTGCGGTTGTGTGCGTAAGAGTGTGTATTTGTGTCTGAATATAAGAGGACATTTTATGTATCACAAATATCTTACCGGCTCGACAAATTCAAATTTCTTCTTCTCTTGAACCTCCTGGATTTTGAAGACGTATTCTAGAGAGGCGTCATGAAAGAGTTGCCTTTCCTTATCAATCTGAGCGTCAGCCTGCAAACGAACAAAGAGCGCTGTTACCCTAGAGACGGAGAGAAAGTTATGGCTGCCAGGCTTGTTTGCTCATTTTGGGCTTTGGTTAATGGATACATGTGAGAATTTCTGGCTCAGCTTTGTGAGAATCTGTGTAACGACAAGCTAAACAAACGCAACTGAAACAGCACGAAAGAAAAAAACAGGAACTGAAGCTTTTAAACACTTGTTTTTAAAAGGTTTAGTCATCCAAAAATGGAAATGTTATCATTATTTACTCATCCCCATGTTGTTCCAAACCCATATGTCTTTCTTCTGTAAAACACAAAAGGAAAAATTCAAGTTTTCAAGTTCCAAAAAGAACACTAAGGACTATAAAAGTAGTTCACATGTCTTGTGTGTTATTATTAATTGGTTCCCATTCATTATAATTGCACGGAAAGAGCAGAATATACATAATTCTCCTTTTATGTTTAACAAAAGAAAACAAGTCATACAGGTTTGGAATGGCATGAGGGTGAATACATTTTTAAATGAACTATCCCTTTAAATAATTACATCACCACCAATGTCGGCATCAAAAAAAGACAATATTATTGTAAGATATGTACATCATTTCAGTCTTGCATGTGCTATTCGTTTCTGTTTTCGAGAAAATTAAACAGAATTGTGATTGGTTGTCTTTCTTGCATATACGTATTTAACCATTTCAACTTCTTTGTTGATTTTCTGTGAGTCTGGTGCACCGCAGATAGAAGTCATGATGGAAAGACACTTCTAATACAGCACTGCCTCAGAACTAAGACTAAAACCTAAACCGGAGTTCACTATTATTCTTTTGATGCCATGTAAGCGTTGGTATTTCCTTCGGAAAATGCAAATCTTAGCCTTATTTGTTGAATGATTCACCTCTTGGAGAGCTGATTCTTTTTTTCTGGACGACAGGTTGAGATGTTTTTCCAGTGAGGAGTAGTACTTTTCTGCCTCCTTGTCAAATTTCTTCTTCCCCTCCTATGGAAAACAAATGGTTACTGCCATTATATTAGCATATTTAAATAAGATCAAAGTCAGTTACGTAAACTGTAAAATTACCAGAGCTGTCAATTACCCAAAACTACTGAACGATGGTTAACAAATAATACAAAGCCTTTCTCAGAACTGACTTTTTAGTGTTTTTTAGCGAATTAAGTCGGTCACACAGGTGTTCTATCAGAGCAACAACAGAATCACATTATGAACATGTTGCACTAATACTTGACAACAACAAAGTATGCCTGTGATCTGCCTGTCAAGCCATTAGGTGGCACTCTAATGCTTTATCACACAAACCCACTCCTGTCTCCCAATGAGATATGCAGTTACTGCTATAGAAACAGTTTAGCCCATAATTGATAAATTGCAAGTAAATAAATATATTGTCAAGGAAATGAAATGATATAAACCAAGCATAAAGATGATTATATACTTAATCATACATAGTTACAAGATAAGATTAATCTCTTTCTGTTCTCAGTAGACAGAGAAGAGCAAATCACACAAAACTCTTGAAAATATACACATAATCGCATTTACAGGCATTTGAATGCAGCTCTGAAATATCATCTAAAGTCTGTGGGTCAGTTATTATTAAGATTACATTCCCTGACAGATGCGTCTGTCAGATTTGCATTAGTCTAAATGCGGACTCATTAACGGCACAGGTAGGACGATAGACAGACTTCTGTGGAAATGCACACAAGAACTGTTCGTTCAAGCATACGAGAAGAAAAGTTTCAGCCAAGAGAATCAGATTACAGGAACACAAACTCACAAAGTATGCTCAATGTCATGGGTATTAAAAGTCAAGACGGTAGTTGTTGTTTTGTCATAATACAGTGACTTTTGAAAGGCCATCAGTGCAGAAATGCTGCTTTGGCAGTACAATAGTATAGTTACACCATTGACCAACAGGGGCTAACTGGACCATGGTACTCAGCTAAACCCTGACCACTTGGCTGTGTCCAAAAGCTGAAAAATGCTGCCTCCGAAAGTAGCATATGCACATCCAAATCCAATGATCATGTGACATCTTGTCTACTGAGATACTCATCAGATTTTTGTAAATGTATTAATTACCGTATTGGCCCGAATATAAGACGACCCTGATTATAAGACGACCGCGTTTTTTCAAATGTATTTCCAAGAAAAAAATATCGTCTTATATTCGGGACAATACGGTAAATATTCACTTGGTTATCACCAAAGCTTTCTCTATTGCTGCGTCTCAATGTGCCTACTTATACTACGCCCTTAAAGAATGAAAAAGTACACACTTTGTTTTGAGAGTGTAGTAGAAGAGTAGGCAAGCTTTGGGACATACTATCACGTCACACATTAAATAAATATATATTTTTTTTTTTACCAGATTAAATGTTGAATATTAGTAACTCGAACCCCTTTTTCTAAGCCTCTCTACCTAACCGCCGGTCGTGCACATCCGCCATGTTTGTAGTTTTTTAACGCGTTTTATTCGTGTTTGTAGTTCTGGACAGAATCCTTCACCAAAGCGCAATGGATTGTGGGCAATATTAGCCATTCGAGTGTGCACGGATCCACACTTCAAAAATCGACCTGAAATAGTAGACCATCCAGGGACTTTTGGCATACTCTTTTCAACATACTAAGCTTTGGGACACACTATTCTAATCTCAAATACTATTTAGGATGGATAGTATGAACATTGAGACGCAGGGTATTTTGTTGTAGATCATTAAGAAACCACACGACTGTGGTCTTGGACTTTATACTGACACTTATTGGTGTGGAGGCACCACTGCACAAAACTACACTTACCTGAAAACGTTACCTGGTGCACATTTTATAGGCTATAGCTTTAGATGAAGAGTAACAGATGTGAATGATGAAGAGGAGAATTCTGAATATAAAATTCAGACATCCATCTGCTTCTTCCATTCCCTGTCACAACTCACAAGATAACTAACTTCACGAGAGGAGATTTCCACACAAGAGAATCCACAACACTGAATCCTTCAAAAGGCCCTGACTCCATTCAGTCTGTTTTCACACCTGAGTTGTCCTGCCTGAGGCCTTTCACGCAGCGATGCAATACGTGGGTTCTACAGTTATCGCTATATTCAAAGGTCATATGTAAATTTTAAAGTGCTCTATTTCTTTGCAGCAACTCAAGTGCTGTTCTGAGTGGGAGCATGGGAGATGACAGAGGGTTTGCTTGGACCACTGTCAAAAGAAGCAAGCTGGTTTATTTGAGGGCCAGGGTTAATGCAAGGCCTAGCTAGTTAATGCATGAGCATATATGTGATCCCAATAATTTTTAAGCACCTCAATGCAATTTCTATCAAAAAATGCGCAAATAATTCCAAATATGGAAGTACATTTTCTGAAGAAAAGATATACAGAGAAACATGCATACTCAGCATACACAGCATATTCTGAAAACTGCTATAGTTGTAGTCATAGACAGTCATGCAGTGAAAGGAAACGACTAGTAAAACTTGAGCTTGTGTGTATTTTCATTCTCATGGCCCCTCCATTAACCCTTGACTCCATATAACGGCTACTGATATGACGTAGTTAAACAGTGTGCTTGAACATTCTCTCCACCACACAACGTCAGTGATGAAATAATAACAGTCCTGCATCCACCGCGGTTCCAAATTCCTGACAACAATCAATAAATAATTTCAAGATTGTGTCTTTAGACGCTTCCTCTACTATGTCCAGAAAAAAGAGAAAATCGTTCCAGAGGAAACCGTAGTGTCTATATCTGACTCCCATGGGATATGAGTTAAATAATAAAACAGACAAATAAATGAATAAATACATTAGATAGTGTCTTGACAACCAATAAATTTCCCCTCGGGTTTGTTTGCTTTATATGAGAGGATGACAGAGGAATACAATATACTGGATGTCTTGGCTTGATGACATTTTTTTGTGATATGAATACTGCAAAAACTTGGCTTAAGGAAACACAGATTCTCTCTCTCCAACACAAAGATGCGGAGAGAGGGATAATAAGAGACAGAGGAAAATAGGAGAATTAACAAGCTTGAAATGTATTGGGATTGCCCCATTACTGTCTTAAATCAATGGGATAACTCACTATAACCACTCACAATAGAAGTTAAAAAGCTTCAAAACAACCCAAAGTAATAAGCAAGAGGCTTAATCATAACCAGGCCCACACAAAATCTCTACAGAATTCATTCGTGTTTGTTTATTCCGACAATAATGGAAAATTTGATAAGAATTTATGCCATAAAAAAGACTGTAATACTAAAAAGTCTACAAATAACTTCAGAGCTTGTTTATAAGTAGGTCCATGCAGTATCTGCATTCAGAATCTAGATGAAAAAGTGGAAGTCTGCAAAACTGATTTGAATAAGAGTGAAATGTGTTACAGAGATACAGAGTACACTGCAAAAAGTGGTAACCTGCAATTGTTACGTTAAATATATATTTCTGCCTGATTTAACCCATATAACATTTTAGTTTTGTTTGTATAAATTAATGTATTTAGGTTGATTTAGCTATATTAAATAATATTTTTGACTTGAATAAAACTTGGTTATTTAGCTGTCACCATTTTTATAGGTTACCATTTTTTTCAGTGTATCAAAGGAAACTATAAATACATCATCTTACAAAATGACAATTAGAAGTATTTTAAACATTTTAATGATGTGCAGTCACATGAGATGAAAAATCATAACAGCGACCTAAAAAAAAGTTTATTTTTACCAGCAGTAGGTCATGGGGCAGCCATGTTGAGATCACATGACAATCTCTACTAATAATTCCATAACAGCAATAGATAGAACAAAAGATAAAATGACCCACTGTCAACACAAAACGGCACATTTCACACATTTGCCATAAATATAACTGTTCTAAAGGACGTTGCAGTTTCATTCATATCAGTAGCAAACTCTGGTATGGTTCGTAGGTCCACAACCAAGTTCGGAAAATAGAGATTATCATCCAAACTAACCAAACTCTGGTGTCAATGAACACGGGTGTGCAACAAAAGTGTTCGTATAAAAGCATTCCAAACAACATAGGGGATAAATAGAACTTTGCAAATTCATATTTAATATCTCTGGAAATGTGGTGCTTCTACAGGAACAGAATCAATGCAGGGCTACACATAAGGCGCTGAGCTGCGCTACCCAGTGTGATCCTCTTCTGTTGGTCCAGCAGGGTCTCCGCTGACCATCAGGGCTTTGTTTCAGACTTTCAACAATTTACTGCCGTCCTCTACTGGGATGACCTCACGTGACCTCTGCTCACGGGGGCAGTGTGAACTGCAGCCAGGTTAAAGACCGCTGTGCAACGGATGGGGCTCTGCATGACAGACAGACTTCAGACCCCCCACAGTGTGACAAAAAAAGCCAGGCAGACAAACATATGTGCATGAGTGCACACACACACACATACTCACAGAGAATCCTGGAGCCTGCGGAGCCACCTGGCCAGACGGGCTGATGGCACCGATTTTGAGCGATCACTGCCTCAGATGCTGACAGCTCCAAGGGGAAACAAACCAACACCCCCAGGGGTGCACTGCACAAACAGCCCAGACACTTACTCTTTATTCTTTCTCTCTTCTGCTTTTAGAAGACATTAGCCAATATTCAGATCTCCGAGCTTGGTGCCAAATCTAAACAACTGTGATGGAATGTCCTGCCATTGTTTATTACATTCTTATATGAGTTCAGCGAATAAATATGATAGGATCAACTTACTAATTACCAGAAGATGAGAGAAGAGAGAGAAAGGACTGAGACAAGATGAGAGGAAAGGACAATATGAGTGAAGGAGACAAGAATACAAGATGAGACAAGAAGAAAGGCAGAAACTAGAGAAAATAGAGTAGAGAAAATGAGATGAGAAAAGAGATGATGAGATGAGATGAGCTGAAAAAAATAAAGATACAATAAAAGAGGAGAGGAGATGAGAAAATACAAGATATGACCAGATGAGAGAGAAAA